GGCTTTCTTTGTCAGCATCGTGTCGACAGTGTCGGGGTCTGTGCGACCCTCCTTGTGTTTGTTCCGAGAACGAGGGTGCGAGGGGCATGCTGTGCTTGGAACGTGCGACAACACGTTGAGTGTTCAGGGCTTTCTTTGTCAGCATCGTGTCGACAGGGTCGGGGTCTGTGCGACCCTCCTTGTGGTTGTTCCGAGAACAAGACTGGAAAGGGAATGCTGTGTTTGGAACATGCGACAACACGTTGAGTGTTCAGGGCTTTCTTTGTCAGCATCGTGTCGACAGCGTCGGGGTCTGTGCGACCCTCCTTGTGGTTGTTCCGAGAACAAGACTGGAAAGGGAATGCTGTGCTTGGAACATGCGACAACACGTTGAGTGTTCAGGGCTTTCTTTGTCAGCATCGTGTCGACAGTGTCGGGGTCTGTGCGACCCTCCTTGTGTTTGTTCCGAGAAGAAGGGGGCGAGGGGCATGCTGTGCTTGGAACGTGCGACAACACGTTGAGTGTTCAGGGCTTTCTTTGTCAGCATCGTGTCGACAGTGTCGGGGTCTGTGCGACCCTCCTTGTGTTTGTTCCGAGAACAAGGGTGCGAGGGGCACGCTGTGCTTGGAACGTGCGACAACATGTTGAGTGTTGAGGGCTTTCTTTGTCAGCATCGTGTCGACAGTGTCGGGGTCTGTGTGACCCTCCTTGTGTTTGTTCCGAGAACCAGGGTGCGAGGGGCATGCTGTGCTTGGAACGTGCCAAAACACGTTGAGTGTTCAGGGCTTTCTTTGTCAGCCTCGTGTCGACAGTGTCGGGGTCTGTGCGAACCTCTTTGTGCCGTCTACTAGCGTCATGCGACTTAGAACACGTGCAGATAGCATGGAAGTAAACTGTGGGAGTTGTCCGGTAGCGGCGCGCTTTAGCAACGGGGCTCGAGTACAAGCATAACAGGATATGACAGGATGTTTGGACGTGGTTGTGAAGATTCCGCAGGGAATATGTAACTTTCGTCGAAATGGCCACAGCCGTAGACTGTAGGCAACTGAAATGGACCTTGTGGTAACGTTCGTGTAGAGGTCAGTAGATGGCGGAACGTGGGTGCTGAGAGTTATGAACTCAGAATGTATGCGTACTTGCAGGAGAGGTAGCAGTAAGTGGAAGTGGTTGGGTGTTAGGAGCGCACCTCCACTCGGAAAGAAAAGAGTCGCAGCGCCAGGCATCTCGAGGATTTTGCAAAGGCTGGCTTCTCGGAATGCAGGTTCTTTCGAGAGATGGGAAGGATTCTTATCGGGTAGCCTCGCGGAGTCCGTGCATGGCCACAGTTCGGCATTTGACACGTGCTTTCGGGCGGCTATAGCGCAATGTCGAGAGGAGACATGATTGACTCTGCAACATAGAACCCCCCCCCCCCCAGCGCGTGTAGAAAATGGAGAGACACTGCATAGTGGGGAAGATGCACGGTGGAGCATGTGATTATTAGAGTGTGAGCAGTATTCATTCCTGGAGGCAGAAGTGCGGGATTCGTGCGCGATGTCTGCTGGCGACGTGGAGGTGCAGAAGGGTTCTCACATGTGGCTGGGCGAGGTAGACTAAACATGCAGAAGAGGACAGGAACAAGTGCGGCATTAGTGCGTGATCCAGGCACACGTGTACGCGTGGCAGTACTTGTGGTGGGGAGGGACGCGTGGCAGACATGAAATGCGTCCTGTTTCGTGACGTAAATTGTTTGCTTCGGCTCAAGCCGCTTGAGAACTTCGTGTTTTCGAACATTTGCTGCCGCTTGATCGCAGTGGGTCCAGCAGATGAGAAGTCGTCATCGGGAAATATTTGCCCCACTAAGGTATCCTCGACTTCGCTGTCCCGTCTGTGTGTGACTGGGCAAGCAAACAATTGGGTCCGCACTTTATATAAGGCTCGTCGAAACACATTGTACATCCGAGGATCATGCCTCGCTTTTCTGCGTGCCCGTGGTTTGCTGACGATGACGTGGAGTTCTGTGGCCGAGTATAAGAGAATGTTTGAGTGCATGCCAGTGTAGGGGTAGCGTGCGCATGAAGAAGGTAGTCCCTCTGCTGGACAGGTTGGATGTGAAGCCGTCTGTGCAAGTCGACCCAGACTATCGTGCTCGTCTGAGTTTAGGGAGACTGCAGATGTAGGAGATGCACGTTGGACAGTGCATGTGCGGCGCCGAGAGAGGCATCATTGACCAGGGTTGGCGTGTCATCAGGCCTTACACGGGAGTGAAGTCGCAGAATACGCGTAATCGTATAGCACTGCTAGCAGCGTGTCGAACGAAGGGCCCAGACGAAGATCAAGGCCGTGCCGCACGTTTCGGACGGTTCCTTGGCATTGTGTCAGCTGTCGGGAAAGAAGTACTTGCAATAGTCATGGCATCTCACTTGATCTGGCCGTGTCGTAGGCTGTGCATGGACAGGCGCACAGACAAGTACGAAGCGGGCGAAATGTGTCTTGACAGGGCAAGCAGAGACGAAAGACCAGGCACCATCTCTACAAGGTATTTGTCGTCATACGTCCACCAGTGGTATTGGGTCATGCGTGTCTTGTGCTCCTGTAGCTATCTGTCGAACCGAGGGATGATCGATGGTAGCAGCCATTGGCAGAAGACCACGCTGCGTCCTGAGGAAACAACGCAGCAGACAAGATGTGTTTATGGATCTGGTGCTGGAACGCAGGAAAAGTCGACGAAGATTCGACTTGCTTCTGGTTCCCAAGGTCGGTCTCGTCTGGGGATGGCTGCGTCGTGGTTCCCTGCACGTGTCCTGGCGACTTTTCAATCAGGACGTGCAAGTAAGCTCCTCTGCACAGCGAGCAGTAGCACGTTTGGAAGGACATGGTAGGCGCGGAAAGGAGGAAGTCGCATGCGAGTTTGTCCATGGACGGTTCAGGCCCTCGAAGCCGGCAAACGCTCCGGAGTCACTTGTGGTGATGGAGTGTGGAACTTGGTTGGGATATAGTATTTGTCGGGCATTACGCAGGAGTCGTGGGTCGCTTGTTGGAGTACAGACGCAGGCAGAAGGAAAGCTGTATCCGTCCGAGGCATTCGGAGGTGTTTTTGAAAAGTGCGTCCGGACCTCGGACTTGTGTCCTGGCATGAAGGGCGTAGATTCGCACAGTAATCGCAAGGTCTACGGCCGCCAGTCCGGCCGCTGACGTTGCTGTTTTTGTGGAGGTGTTGCCTCTATTCGCAGAGATGAACTGGGAGGATTCGCAGGAGAGCCGGGTTCATGCAGCAGTGCTGGTTGCATGCGCGTGACCGGCCAGGTTTGTAGTAGAAGGTTTGGACGCACATGAGTGGCAATTGCAAGTCTGTTGTAGCGTGTTCAGAAAGGTTGTGGAGGTCCAGACGGAGGAGAAGGTTGTCCCTCCGGCGGCGCCTATCGAGGGAGAGACATGTGTCTTGGCTGTTGCATACATGCTGCGGTCGGCTTTGTCTGCATGTGTACGATGACTGGCGTGGAAGGCACGTTGAAGGAGATGGATCCTGCGGAGGTTGGTCGGTGGGTAGGTCTGTGTGGCGCTTCCCAATATGTGTCGTGGAGGTGTTTCCGCTGCTCGCGGAGATGCTTTGGTCTGATGGGGAGGAAGGCCTCGTCCAGGAACCCGTCGCGGCTCCAAGCACGTGGCTTGGCGTAGTAGACAAAGACACAGAGCGAATCTCAGTGTAGCCGCAGGCTTAGAAGTACTAAGCCGAGCACCCAGTGCGAGACGGAAGAGAGGACCGTGCAGCAGCATACTTGGCGAACGCGCGACCGATTGAGGCAGACGACGCCGGTGTGTGCTGTGGATTTTCTACTGGCCATGGAGTGTGGAACTTGGTTGAGACGTTTCACTTGACGGGCTTTGCGTGTGGCAGCAGAGTCGTATACGGAATGGCAGCAAAGGCAGAAGGGAGCTTGCTTCGGCCCGATGCGCACGGAGCTCCTTTGGACGAGCGGGCGCAGAACTCAGAATTCTGTCGTGCAACTCAGGGCATATTTCAGAGGTGACTCACGTGTTCAACAGCAGCGTGTCCGGCCAGAGACCTTGTTGTTTACAGAGTGTCAGGCACGAAGACGAGAAGGCTTTCTCTGGGCCGTTCTGTCGCGATGGACCCGTCTGTGACCTGTCTGCATGGAACATTTCTTGGCAAACCATGTGTCCCTGCGCACAACTGTTGGCGAGTAAGGGAAGTACATCGGCTTCGGTCATGCGGAGGTAGGTAGGAGGGTAGCACGTGCGCCGAGTCTGTCCATGAATGTTGGCTGTGGCTGTGTCCATGGATGAGAGTTGTCTTGTGGTGGAGGTGTCCCCGGTACGCGTGGAGATGGAGTGGCAGGATGCCTTGGCGAAGAGTATTTATGCTCGCTCCTGCCCGAGAAGTGGCCACATTACTGTGGAGGCTCGGCGCTGGAACTGGAATGTACATGATGTCTGTGAGTATGGAGGATTGGATGGACAGTGACATGACAGACGCTGGTGCTGAACATGTGTGATAGGCGGGTACTGTGTGGACATCGATCACGCGACAGTCGTGGAGTCGCCGGTGCAAACGGGTGCACCAGCGGTCTAGCAACTCGGTGCAGAAGTTTGCCTGAGGCGTTCGAGTAATCTGCCATTAGTCACGGGCAGGTATGAGCTTGCGCAAGAAATCTCACGAGTACGAGGCGCCGACCCGTGACTAGGCAGCAGTGGAGCGAGGCTGTGTGTGGCAGAACAGAGGTCCGTCACACTTGGTTGTGAATCATGCACTATGTGAGACCACTGGATGGCACGCAGGCGGACAGGGCAAGTACGCGGACGTGTGTCTTGTCGACGTGCTCCGAGCCCACGGCTACAAATGCGAGTATGAAGGGGATGGGCCTTTCTGGGCGCAGGAGGATGGGAACAGGTTCCTGCGTCCCTTCCAGCAACTTGGCGACAAGTGCGTCCTGTGAACATTGCGATCTCGCATGACTGTATATAGGCGGAACTTGTCTGCAGATGTAAGGAAACAAGTGAACCGCACGACCTGGGGGGGCATGGCGTCGACGCACAATGGAGAATTCATCCTCCATGTGGGAAATCACTTCTATGCCGTGCGCAAGCAGGACGGAGATTTGGAGATCAACCTAGGCAATCGCAGGCATACCTGGGAGAATGCTGCCCTTTCCGAAGCAAGCACGCCCGTGAAGTGGAGTCTCTATCGTCTTCGGTGGATGATCAATCCAGCCTTGTGCGATGGCATTTTCCAGATCGACCAGGTCAGAGGGTCCTGCAGAGCCACGCAATGCGACAGGAGTCAGGACTGTGTCGGGGGCAGCCTTGCAGACGTGCCCGCACATGTCATCAAGGACATCGTCAGGTCCATTGGAGACCTGTGGTCCGTCGTGCAGGCAGAAAGGGTCTGTAGGGAAGCCCGGAACACGGTGACAGACGCAAGCGTCTGGGCTGGTCAGCATGTGGGGATAATTCCCGCCAAGGCCATGCAGGCAAACTGGTTGACAGAGTCACAGTGTCGTTTGGCACGTGCCTTTGCTGCCTCGCTCGTGGTGTCGGCGGAATGGCCATTTCGGACGATGCTGAAGGTCGTCTGCGGATCCGCGCTTCGGAGCTGGCGATCCAGAGGCACAGTAGCGTGTCCGATCTACATCGAGCTGTCTGCGGAGGATGCAATATCGCGCTGTGTGATTTCCATTGCAAACTCAAGGGAGGATGCCGGGCTCCTATCGCCAGGAGCTCGCTGCTGGTGTCAACTCAATAATCCGTGTGACGACCTCATGCGTCTGGAGCTGGGTCACAGCCGTCTGGGACGGCCCAGCACGTGCTTGTGGAACTCCTTGCCGGTGGTGTCAGCACTGCGTCTGATTCAGGTGCAATGGTGGAACGATGTACTAACCGTCTTTGCTGACGGTCATGGCATTGGGTCTCTGTCACTGAGTGGCTGTGACCTGGGCACCTGGTCGGAGGTCAGCGTGACTCTATTCAGTGCCGAGAATGCAGCAGCGCAGTCTGCAGGCTGCAAGAGCCGCATTCTGCCTACTGACTTGCGGCCACAGACACTTCTCCATCGAGAGGATCGTCGCGGAGGGTGCTTGGACTGGGGGAAGCTGCCGCAAATGCCTGCAGTCTACCTCTCGAATATTGCAGACATTTTCGCGCTGAGTGCCTGCAACAGTCAGCTTCGTCAGATCATTCAGGAAGTATTTTTCTGGCACGGCCTCGATCTCGACCTGACAACACGCAGCAGATTAACGTTTCTTCAAAGCGAGTTTCTTGAGAGAATGCTGCAGATCTGGAGCCAAAGCGTGCGAAGCGTGATTTGTCCCCATGTCTGTTTGCATTTCCTCAGTGCACTGGGCGACAAGTTGTGGCTGCGCGGTACCGGGGAGTACCTTCCATGTCTGGTCGGTCGGAGGGGACAACCACCAGCACACACAAGCATCCTCTACTGGAAGACAGACCAGCAGACGTGCCACCGGGCTTCTCTACAGGTCTACATTCCGGAGGACGCTCAATTCCTCGTGCTGGCTTTACGACGCGCAGAGTGTCAGAGCACGCCGGAGAACAGCACTTGCATGGTGCTGCGCAAGCCATGCACGTCACAAGGCCGCATACAATTCCGACTGGCAGACGGTGAGCGAGTACCTGTTCCGACCCCTCAGAAACTGCTGGTGAGGAGTGGTTCCGCCCACACTTTTCAATTCGATTGGAGCAGGAATTTCCTCGACTTCAGCGTGGACGGTGTAAGTGTCGGGATCGTTCCTCTGACAAACCAGCAGAGCATCGACTCCTGGGTAAGGACTGCAGCAATGTGTGTGGCATCTCCTGATCGTATGGACGCCTTCGCGGTCACTGCGTTGCCTTTCCAGTACAATGTCGCCTTCGGATATCCTGCGTGTGCTTACTGTGCGATGGACAGTATTGGCTGCTGCAGAGACTGTGAGCACTGGTTCTGCCAGGATCATGGAGTTTTAGGCACGGACATTTGCTTGGGCTGCGTGCCCGAAGCTTTCTTGGAGGATCGTCTCGGAGGCAGTTCAGTGCCGGTGCCTGGGCCACGGACGACGCTTGCCATAGAGAGACGTCGTTTGGAGGCACTTCGCAAGCAGTATCTGAGGTTTGACGGGCAGGTGTCGGACTTCGAGGTACTGTGTGACCGCATGCAGTCACTGCAAGACGTGCTTTCCCTGGACGTGTCGGATCGGCAGCCGAGTGGTCCAGTCCTGCAGACGGCGGAGGCTCGAAATCTCTGGCGCCAAGTGCACATGGCATGCGAGACGCTGGAGGAGAGCGTGTTCTTGTCTGTGCGACCAGGGACAGAACGAATAGCAAACAATGCCTCTCTGCTGGACTTCAATCTCGGAGGATGCCTGCCCATATCTGTCCGACAGTGGGCAGGACCTCGGTCGGCTTGCGTTGCAATTCCATCCTCCTTCAACGTGGAGAGGCTTGCGGGAACTGCAGTGCTTGACATTCTGGCCTTGGCTGCGCCTCACCCGCGCGACGCAGACCTGCAGTTTCGAGATGTGGATCACACATACACATGGCAGGGACGCAGAGTCTCTCTTTCCGTAACAGCCCTGATCCATTCCCTGGGCCAGAGATTCGATTCCGCCGCAGTACTGGAAGCTATGCGTGGAGGCAGGAACTGGCCACGTGCGGAGTACATGGCGGAGGATGCGGTGGCCAAGCTCAGAATTGCCCTCGCTTCGCAGGGGTCCGCAGAAGTCCTTCTGCAGAGGCTGTTGGATTCGCCGACGGTGGACCTGGAAGCAGTCTGTTACCGCATCCGTGATCTCATTTGGACCCATCCTGGATACGGTCATCTTGCCACTGTGGCGAGTCTCAGCGACGTGGAGATCTTGAGGAGGTGGGACATTAATCGCCGCAGAGCAGCTGCACAGGGCACATGGATGCACGCCTTGTGCGAATGCTTGCTGAATGGAGGAAGCGTACCCGTCAATTCCCCGGAGATGTGCATGTTTCTGAAATTCTTGCGAGGGTTGGAGGCGGAGGGGTGGATCCTGCGCAGGACAGAATGGACTATTTACGCAGACAAAGAAGACCTGGCAGGCTCTATTGACGCCGTGGCAGAGCGTGGCTCGGACGTCTGCATCCTGGATTGGAAGCGAACCAAACAACTTGCTTCCAAGGACTGCAGTTTTGGACGTCGCCTGCGGTACCCACTGGATGACACACCGGACTCTGTCCTCTGGCACTATCGCATTCAATTGAACGTGTATGCTTGGATTCTGCGACAGTATTACAATGTGCAGGCCACGGACCTTCGGCTTGTCTGCCTTCACCCGGACAACGTGTTTACACCACTGGTCATTTCAGTTCCACTCTTGTCGGAGCAAGTTGACAGGTTGATGTCGTGGAGACGGCAGGAGCTGCAGTCCTGTACGCGACTGACCGACGCAGAACAGACAGACCTTCGTGGTGGCAGTCAGGGTTCCAGTTCTCCGGGTTTTTCACAGCGAGTAGAAGACGAATTGGTGGAGATCATGCGTCAGCGCGAGGAGGAGGAAACTTTTGTTGAGCCTCCAGCACCCAAGAGGCCGAGAGCTGACGAGAACCCAGGCGTGGTGCAGCGTGCCGCAGCTTCCGTGGACAGTGTCTTGAACCAGTTCATGGACACAGACATTGATCCAGCCATAGTTCCGCAGGAAGTGCAGTCCTCCATAGAAGATGGCGACATTCTGCAGCAAGTCCAGCGGATTCGGAACCTAGTGCGGAATTTTCCAGGCCAGGCGCACTGGTCAGCGGCCTTCTGCCACGTGGTTGAAGGGGCCTTGGCTGTGCACCGTCTCCGCTTGCTGGATGTAAGTCGAAGGGAAGAAGTACTCTTCCTGGAACTTATTGAAGGCTGCGGACGACACATTCGTGCGCACGAAGGGCAATGCTTTTTTTACTCTACCCATGGTTACTGGGCGGTCTTCACAGGTGTGATCCCCCAAGGCACTCTGGCCCACTGCAAGAGCTATCTGATTCACTTGGAAGGGCTCTATGCGAAGTTCGGGCCACAGGTTCGCCGGGATGAGGAAGGGATCCTCGCAGCTGCACAGGCGTTGGTGGACCAATATCACGGGTCCTGCGAGGCACTGCTGAGTGAGTGCTCCCAGGCAGCCATCTGTCGCGCGCCGACCAAGGGCCGACAAGCAGGAAGAGAGGAGGACGAGGATGCGGAGGTGCGAAGCGGGAGTTTCACGTCCTGGACCATGGCTATGGCAAACACAATTGGCAAACTGTACGTGAAGCTGCATCTCGGTCTGGGTAGTCATATTTTTCCCGTTATGGACAGGACAAACGTACACTTTCCTACTGTGTGCAGCTTAGGCAGACATCACTGCTGAACGACAGCGTCATAAAGTACTATGTCGCTTGGTGTTCGCAGAACGTGATGCGGCAAGGAGGCTTCTGCACCATCGACGGCTGCTTTGTCTTCGAAGACTCAGGCAGTCTTGTCACCGTGCCCAAGAAACCTGATGCCAACGTTTACGTCTTTCTTCCACACCGAATGCTGGATCCTGTCCCCGACCACGTCAGGGAGCGAGTTAAAACCTTTTGGGACACTACTTACTGGAACAACGGGCCAGCTTTCGACGTGTGCATGGCATCCCTGACACTTGCTCTCCGGGGGGAGAACGTGGATAGAGCCTTCTGGGGCCTCGGTTCTGGGGGCGTGGGACAAAGTCTTCAGACGGCTCACCTCGAAGCCATCCTCGGAAGCAACCACTCGTGTCTGGACATGAACATTTATTTTGTGGACGAGGCCGGAGGGAAGACTCACAGCCCAAACGCAGCGCTTTGTGTCAGTGTTGTGTCTGTCTAGCGACAGCCTAAAGTCCATACATTCCTTGCTTGAGGAGATGCGCAAGCAAGCTGCTCATTTGGTCGGCAAGATCGTCGTCACAGGGCAAGAGAGCGTCCAGGGCTCTCGACGTCCGATGCGCGAAGATATCTACAAGAAACACATTTCTGCGGACAAGGTCCCTGAGCGACTGCCGTATGCAATTGAGACGGCACTGGTGGAGCTGCGTGGGTGGAAACGATTTGAGCTCAACACCTACCCGAAGCCACTTGGCGTGAACAGTTCTTGGCGATTGGTGTGTGTCCCAGTGTTGTGACGGCCTCCTTACCTTGTGCCCAGGTTCACGGGCGTCAATGAAGACAATCTCGCCTCCATACTTCGACGCACTGCGGTCTGCCGGTACAAGGCCTTTTTCGTGGATCCAGTGCGCATTGCCGGCAAGGAGGAGCAAGCTGCGGCTCGCGGCGTATTCCCGAGGGATCCCACTCTGAAAGATTTCTTACGGGACCAGCCAGCTTGCTTAGTCACATTAAGGTGCGTCTGGAATTATGCTCGGCGTCGGTCTGCGTCCGAAACCCGACAAGTTCTGGAAGACTACGTCGTGCACGGCGGAGATGGCGGTCTGACACGAGTGGCCGTGCGCACCAGTTGCAATCTTCCTGTTGAAGCCGAGGAGTCTGCGGATGTCTTGGAGAAAACTCTTGCCGAATTGGATGTCGCCCCGAACCCAGCAGAACCAGAAGCTCCAGAGGCAGAGCTGGCCAAGGAGGCACAGAGACGGGAACACGAGAAATTCGTGGAGGACATCAAGCTGTGGCTTCTGAAGGAAGGCAAGGATTGGTTTACTGTATCACAGCTGAAGGCGTCCAAGGCATCACTCACTTTCAGTCGGGGCGACGCAGCCAATGTGACTGAGACCTTGGTGAAGGAGGGCTTTCTTTTTTCGTACAGTCGTGATCTACCAAAAGCAGGGAAAAGCACAATTTATCTTCCTCGCATTGGGACTGGGAAGCCCTTGGCCGATGTCATTGCTTTCCGGCCTGACGAAGCCTTGACCTGCATGGAGGAGTACAGTTGGCCAGCAATGCAACGTCACATGAGTCCAGCTTCGTCACGGACACTGAACCTGCAAACCTTGGCAGACGCGTACAAGCGGAAAGAAAAGTCCACTCGCAAGAGAGGAGCTCCGAGAAGGAACGCCACCGACGCGGAGAGCACTGGCAAACTAGGGGAGGACATGGCTTCTGTGGTAGAGCGTGAAGCCGGGTTCTTTCAGGAAATCCAGAACCTTGCCGAGAGTGGCGAGCTAACAGCCGAGGGCATTGTCCCCGTGCAGCGGCAGTATTTCTACCCGTACGACGGAAGATGCCGCCGGTTTGTGCGTGAAAGAGGAGCTCAAAATCTGTCCCGTCTCGCACGATCAATCTGCTGTCCGGAGACGCGCGATTTTGATGTCCACGCATCCTTGTTCACCATTGTCGTCCAGCTGGCAGATGCTGTCGAGGTGCCGAATTTGGATATCGGAGCCTGGAGAGCTGTCGCCTCTGATCGCAGCAAGGTTTGCAGGGAGGAGTTGCATTGCCCCGAACACGAAGGGAAGCAAATCCTACTGCAGGTAGCCAATGGTGCTGCTATCAAGACCTTCAAAGAGGTTCGTCAATCCGGCAAGACCTTTCTACAGAAGCTGGCCGACGAAAGTCGGCTCCTTCGGTGGTTAGCATGCTCGCAATTGCCGGATGTCTACCAGTTCCAGCAAAGTCAGAAAAAGGCGACGTGGCCTGAGGCTTCGACCTTTTCTCTCTGGTGGACTGCAGCGGAAGACTACATCCTTGAAGACATTCTGCAAAGTGTTCGGCAGTGCAACGGACAAGGACATGTCTCCTGTCACTTCGATGGAGTCCTTCTGTCCAAGTCTCTCGTGGATGCCATCGAGAGTCACGCTGGCCGCGGTGTCATGGAGTACTTCCAAGATCATGTTCAAGCAAACACCGGCCTGCAGATTCGTTTGAAGGAGAAAACTTTGCCTTCCTTTGACGCTGCACTGGCGACGGTCTTCGAGCCGAGTACGGAGGAGTCCTTCCTGGGTACGCATGCGGTGCTTCTCATGGCAGTGCCGAACTCCATTCCTGCTGGTCTAGTTTTCCTGGGAGCAAGTCTTGCACATGTCGTCGGAATCCTGACGGCCGAGTCGCCGGCAAATACTTCCGCAGAAAGATGCCAGGTCCGACCGTACTCAGACTGGCACGGAGTTGATTCTAACTACTTTGTACCAGTCGGACAGGTTGGACATGAACAGAAGGACAACTGTCTGATTCATCTCGAACTTCCTGCAGGGTCCTCCTGCGTGGCTGTCAAATTTTCGCAAAACAGGAAGATTCAGGTCTTTCGGCAAGGTCGTGTCTTCAGCGCCACATGGCCGGCCTTTGTCAATTTCCTGGGCGACTTCGTGGGCGTCAAAGAGACCATGGTCTTCAAGATGGCTCAGACTGACCCGGAGCTGTCGGACGCGGACAAGCCTTTCCTGGATCTTCTTGGCGGTGCGTCGGCTCGCAAATGCAGCAAAAAAAAGACCAGCCGCTCACGGAGACCAGGAGCCAGTTGCAGGTCCACAAAACGAGGGAGAAGTAGATGTCGGCCAGGATCTGATGAATCTTTTGGAGGAGGAAGTCCAAACGGCTCTGAGCGACGTGTCTTCGAAGTCCAACTCGACCTTTGCCTCCACGGTCTGCCCCTGCTGCCCTTGGCGGCGTTTCCACAAGCGGGCACATCTTCGTCAACATCTGCATTTTCAACACACGAAGCAGAAGCGTTACTGTCCGTCCGGCACCAAGCAGCTCCGAGTTGCTGTCGCCCTGTACGACCATGCGGCGCTGACAGGAAGCCGTATGAAGGCAACCTTTCTGGAACGCTCTGCAGCCATTCTCAGGGCGGATGTGAAGCCGCCAGTACCCGCAAACAAGGTCCACATCGACAAGCACATTCGGTACGTTCTGGATGCCAACGGACCCGCGGTCATGTCTCTGCAGTGCATCAAGCAGAAAAAGGATCTCAGACGTGTAGGCAACTTCTACTACACCTATGACTTCGCTTGTGCATTCCTGCAGGCTGCAGCCGCTGGAAATGGCTCCCTTATGCGCATATACTCCAGTCTGGTTGGTGCTTGCACCCGTCACGGAGGTCAACTGTCTTCTCTGCTGCCTCGCGCAACCAATGGATTCTGGGCAAATGTGCTTGAAGACCTTGTGCAGTCGCCCCCTTTCTATGAGTACCAGGCGTCCCTTTTGAATCAGTGTGCAGAGCATGAGGAGTTCCGCTACCTCAGCGTAGACGCCACGTTCAAGATCAACCTCAAAATCATTGGCCAGGCCAATTTTCATTCTTCTCAGTCGGCACGGGAAAACGCGGCCATTCCTGAATCCAGCGCGGCTTATCGAACCCTGACCTGCCGGGGACGAACCGGTGCTGCAGTGCTCCTCGAGGTCGTGCGCTCGGAGAAAGCCAGTGTTGTGGCGGAAACTTTCGCCAACTCACTGCCGCAAGCGCACCGGGAGCAGGTCCTCCACGTGGCGTCGGACGCGCCCTCCGCCGAGATGGTACGGGTATTGAAGGAGACTTTGCCCAATCTTCGCAGTGTGGCTCTCGATGCCATGCATATCGTGATGATATACCAGCAAAACATGAACAACAAGAAGACGGAGGGCAGTCGCTGGCTGGCAGTGTTGATGGACAAATTCCGCAAAAGGGATACTGTCCGATCAGCAGCATCATGGGGACCGTTCTACTGCGGAGAGCCCTTGCCTAGCTCGAGCGCGGATGTGAAGGCAATGAGGCAGCGACTGGAGTGGCCTGACATGTCTTCCGCGCAGGCTTACCAAGTCCTGGAAGTCATCGACGCAGACCAGCCTTGGCTAACAGAGATTGAGTTCCTCGAGGCGATTCTCGCACATCTCTCCATTTTCTGGGAGGAGGTCCAGAAGGTCTCCTACTCAGGTGTCACGCTGCATCGGCTGATCCTCAACGTGGCCTCCCAGTCGAAGGTGCAATGGCTCCTGAACGACACCCGGTACCGCCACTCCGTGGAGCGTCAATCTCTGGTTTTGCTTCCTAGTGGCACAACGTCAAACGAGAGCCTTCACCACGAGCTCAACCACTGGTTCCGGGAAACAGCCTCTTGCTTGGAATAAGCACGTGCCTTGTCCTTCTTTCGTCAGTTAGACATTCTTTACCTATTTACAGCCTTCTCATGGCACCACGAGGCTGCCATGCACAAGGGGACGCTGATCATGAAGCTACGTTTGTTTCAGTTTGTCAAAGTCTTTGCACATAACCAAGCTCTTTACAGACCACTGCAGAGACAGGCCAGTCAGGCGGAGGTGACCAGACGAGCCTTAAAGGCTAACATCAAGGTCATTCTTCCAAGACCTGCGTGGCGAACCTGGTGTCAGACTCTGGTCATTCCCGGATCTGCGCCAGCCAGAGCAGACCTGCAGGCTCGCAAGGAAGCACGAGCGGTTCGCGAGTCCATGCGAGAAGTGGAGACGAAATCTCCTTCCCGGCCTGCTCCGCGTCGAAGGAAAAGCGGAGCTCCAGCGCTGCCGAAGAGCACGCCGAGCAGACGCACACCCTTCAGACTCAGGAATATCAGCCCCGTGATTCGGCCTGGGCGAAAGTCCTCAAATATCTAGAAGGTTGCGTGCAGTCCTCTTGTCTTCCTAAAGGGGCCACAGTCTTTTTCAGATACATTGTGCCGTTTGTCACCAGACATGCTCTGGCTGATCTCGGGCGTTGTGCAGTTTGCTGTCTTCCACGAAGGTCGCGTAGCAAAACAAAAAGATTGTAATCTTGCACCTGCTTCCGCCAGAGAGATGTTGCTGCCATGGAGATTCTTTCTTTCCTGAGATTGCCAAATACGGGCTCTACATGTGTGACGCATGTTTGCTTGATGGTGTCAGGTCCTCAAGGCAAGGCCCAGGTACTGCAAGGAGCCTCGTAGCAGTACAAAACTAAAGGATTCAGTTTCTGAGTCAGAACATTTTGGACACACGACATATGTGTGATGGATTAGCGTGTCTCCGCGCCCACACATTACATAATCCCAGCTGTCGGAACTGCATGTTCGGTTCGGATCCCACGGTCCACGTACTGCATGGAGCCTCCTAGCAGTACGAAACTAAAGGATTCAGTTTCTGAGTCAGAACATTTGGGACACACGACATATGTTTGATGGATGAGCATGTCTCCGTGCCCACACATTACATAGTCCAGCTTTCGGAACTGCATGTTCCGTTCGGATCCCACGGTCCACGTACTGCATGGAGCCTCCTAGCAGTACGAAACTAAAGGATTCAGTTTCTGAGTCAGAACATTTGGGACACACGACATATGTTTGATGGATGAGCATGTCTCCGTGCCCACACATTACATAGTCCAGCTTTCGGAACTGCATGTTCCGTTCGGATCCCACGGTCCACGTACTGCATGGAGCCTCCTAGCAGTACGAAACTAAAGGATTCAGTTTCTGAGTCAGAACATTTGGGACACACGACATATGTTTGATGGATGAGCATGTCTCCGTGCCCACACATTACATAGTCCAGCTTTCGGAACTGCATGTTCCGTTCGGATCCCACGGTCCACGTACTGCATGGAGCCTCCTAGCAGTACGAAACTAAAGGATTCAGTTTCTGAGTCAGAACATTTGGGACACACGACATATGTCTGATGGATGAGCATGTCTCCGTGCGCACACATTACCTAGTCCCAGCTGTCGGAACTGCATGTTCTGTTCAGATCCCAACACGTGAGCTTTACGTCCAAGAGTTTCTGGTAAATGTCTTCGCTTAGGCCGACGCAGAAATAATATACGATATAGCTGGCAAAAAGGTTACATTTACATGTTCGTGCAATCCTTTCTTTACTCAGAGGGTCACCATATATACTGCGACTAACGTGACATCAGCAACAAACCTCCTGCGGGATTTCCTTGTTCAATGCCTCGGTGTTCAATTTTGAAACTACCATGCTTACACACGAAAGTCTAACGGGCCAAGTTCTAAACAGAGCCTAGAGAATATGTTGCCCTAGGACCATTGACAGAAGACACATTTCCATATTGCTTGTCCATCCACTATTGTCGTATCACTCATGTAAACTGCCTCCGTAAGCGCTTTGTTGCTTCATCGAACCCCAAAACCCATGAAAGCGGAATACCCTCGTGGAAACACACTGGTTAGTATAAAAACCCGAGTCTCAGCTTCCAAATAGACCCTATTTAAGCCACCCACGGGGGGGGGGTTTAGGGATTCATGGTATTTCGAGCTGCTTGCTCAATCATAAATTCAGGTGACAGCCCGAAAGCCTTCAAGCTCCTTTACCCTGCACCCCCTAAACTCTTCAACACTAAACCCTAAACCCCAAACCCTGAACCCTAACCCCCCAAGACCGCAAAGCCCCTAAACCCTAAACCCTAAACCCTAAACCCCAAACCCTAAACCCTATAAACCCTAAACACCCCTAAACCCTAAGCTTCCTAACTCCTACACCTCCTACCAACTTCAAAAGCACGGGGGTTCTGCGCGGCGGAAGCCTGGAGCGATGCATCGGCATTGCAGGTCTGTAGAGCATGGCACCCTAAACCCTTCTAAACCCTAAACCCTATGCGGATGCCTAAGCTGAATCAAGCTTAAACACCCTGGTAGCATCAAAGCCCCAGAAACTCCCAGCCCGAGATATTTCTGCCCCGGCGACATCGCACTAAAAGTCTGGTGCAACATAGCTTGTCCATCTTGAAGGACACTCTTTGTAAGTTATCTTCGTGAACACTCACCTGTCCCTGTCGCATGTCCATCTGTTCGACTCCGGCATTCATGGCTCTGTCCCCCCCCCTCCTTCACAGACGACCTCAGGGTAGATACATAGGCCCTAAGAATGGGCCCTTAAATTGGGAAGCCTTCATAGAACCCTTCTATACCGATACAAACCAAGGACGCATGTTTCAGAACTCTTTAAGGAAGGCAAGGAAGGTAGGGGACCATACTATCTAGACCCAAGAATAACCTAGGAATAAAAAGGGTGCCGTTGTTGGCTTAAAGGGGCTTATTATCGCAGAAGCTAAAACCCCACAAAAAGGGGAATAAGGGCCTACTCTGGGTCCTAGTAACCCTACGTAAACCCTAAACCCTTCATCCTAAAGAAAGGGAACAGTTGAGGGACCGCGACAGACCCCGTGAATCTGCCGGACATCTGTTCCAAAAGGTTTAACCCTAGGTGGACCAGACCTGACCACGACAGAAGGTTAGGGCCAGGATTTCGGGTTTTCGGGTTTAGGGTTTTAGGGTTTTAGGGTCTTAGGGTTTTAGGGTTTTAGGGTTTTAGGGTTTTAGGGTTTTAGGGTTTTAGGGTTTTAGGGTTTTAGGGTTTTAGGGCTTTAGGGTTTCAGGGTTTTCGGGTTTTAGGATTCTAGGGTTTTCAAAAGCAATCAATCCAAGGCCGAAGCATCAGCAGAGTTTGTCAAGTGCCCAACAGAATGATGCCCATGAAGAGACCACTCAAGGGCAACATGAACACTTCCCCAAAGAGCCCAATACCCCTTCACGGAGAGAATCTGCCTTACCCAAAGGCTCCTCTGTCGTACCCTTTTGGGGTAGCAGACTCGAATCCCCTATAACTAGCCCATAAAGGAACTACATTGGGGCCTTCAGGTAATTCCTAAACCCTAAACCCTAAACCCCAAACGGTAATTACCTTTGGGCCCAAAAAAAGAGGGATCATCGCTGCTGGGTCAATCAGGAGACAGAAGTGAACTCTCTAAAACGGATAATCACTTGCTTAGGGTTTAGGGGTTTTAGGGGTTTTAGGGGTTTTAGGGGTTTAGGGTTTAGGGAATTTAGGTAAGTCTGAAGGGACAAAAGAAACCCCTTTTTAGGTGCTTCCAGGGGGTTTAGGGTTTCAACCTAAACCCTAAACCCTAAACCCTAAACCCTAAACCCTAAATTCGGGTTTAGGGTTTAGGGTCCAGGGTTGTCTGGGCTCGTCTTTTTTCCCTTTCTGCAGCTTGAAAGTACCGACCGGGGACCCGGGGACCCCCCCTTGGCGCTCCACACGTCTGGGTGACTCGTCCATAAGAGACCACCAAGCCCGATATCGGGAATCGGAAAGGCTTTCGAAAGGTGGGAGGACTTTACGACCAGGGAAGTTTTGGCGAGCTTCGTCTTAAGTGGCTACAGCGCTGTCACAGCTTACTTCTCCGTAAGTTTAGGGTTTAGGGTTAAGGGTTTAGGGTTTAGGGGTCCCTTGATTTGGGAAGCCTTTGAACTACTTCAATCTCCCAGAGTCTCTAGATCCTCCCAGAAACGGTTGGCGTGATATGGTGGCGCTGGCCCTTGTTGGGCAGCGGCAACACGCTTGTCCCCTTCTGCGGACACTGTGCGCTTTCGCTTGCTGTAGGGTTTTGGCCGCTAAGGAGTTCAGGGTTTCAGGGAGCAGGGGCTTTCAGGGTTCATTTTCAAGTTTTAGGGTACTAGGAGCTTAGGGTTTCGGGCGTTTGGTGGCTTTTCCAGGCCATGGACAACTCCTTGAGGGTTGCGGGCGTGTGTGTGGGGGTACGGTGTAGGGTTACCTAGCTCTCGGACTAAATCCTAAAGAGCCGGGTTCTAAAACAAAACCGTGGGAGCGGGGTCGGTTCAGAGCTTCTGGGTGTATAGGATAAGGCGGAGGCAACGCCAGTGAGCCTGGCATCTTGTGCTTATTGTATCTTTGCGAAAACCGATGTGCGTTAGGGTTTGTTCGTTGCGCATCTCAGTCTGAATCAGGCATACTTTGAACCCTAAACCCTAAACCCTACACCCTAAACCCTAAACCCTAAACAGCAAATCATACCGCAACCCAAGCTTCACCGAGCCTGGGTGGCACGGGAGTGAGGGCGGCTGAAAGCAGCACAAAACCGTGTGGCTCACAGCATGCCTGGGCTACGACCGCACTCAACTCGGACTTCTGCTTGTGAGGGTTTAGGGTTTAGGGTTTAGGGTTTAGGGTTTAGGGCGTAGCTTACATGCCGGCGGCAGGGCAGCCCTGGCAAGCCACTGCCGCTCGTGCAACTCGAGCTCTCTTGTGCGGCAGCTTTTATGGCAAATGCTCCTCAAGCTCGACACCCTAAACCCTAAACCCTAAACCCTAAACCCTCAACTCTAAACCCAAAGCCTTCCGACACCGTGTCTGAACCCCGCCCTTACCCCTAACTGCCCTGACCTCCTGGAACTACGGTTGTACCCCTTGGGTTGCTGAACTTTTTTGCCAGATCCTCCGGGGGAATGTAAGGGCCAGATTAGGGTATATGTTAAGGGGCACCTCTTAGGGGTACATTTTTAGGGCTCTGAGTATGACGCCCCTGATAGTCCCCCAAACCCGAACTCCTACAAGGATGCCAGAAGGAACCCTAAACCCTGAACCCTATGCCCAAGTTCCAAATCCTGGAGACCGACATTGCCTTGATCTTCCCCAAAGTATGGGGGGGGGTTTGGCCAAACTCTAGTAGAAGCCGCTGTTTTTGGAACATGCTCACGAGTTGAGAGGATGACAAGGCTATGACCATCCCCCAAAGACTTCTAGCCATCCAGGGGTAACAAAAGGGCTGAAGAATTGGTACTCTTGGGTTCTCGTGGAACCCTTATATAGCCCCCCACTCCTGCGAGCCCTACCCCAAGGCTCCTGTAGTAACCCAATCACAACCGTACTTATAACCCAATGTTAACCCCCATTAGGGTACTTAAGGGGCTTATATGTGGGTTATAACTACACTTCTAGTGGGTTATTAAGTAACCCTATAAGGCTCATGTGGCAACCCTTGTGTGCTCCAAACCCTAAACCCTAAACCCTAAACCCTAAAGGCCACTCGGCCGCATCTGCCGCAGTTGCCAGAGCTCGTGCGAGACGACGCAGCGTTCAGACATGGGTCCAGCGCTGAGGAGCCCTCTCTGCCCTTAGCCCCTAGAGTTT